GAACCCTCGGCGGGAGCGCCACCGCGCTCCCAAGCGGCGCACTATAGCAGTGCGCCACCGGGCCGGCCTAACTTACTGGTCTTTGAACACCTTAGGCTTATGCTGTGAAATTTTGAAAGATGTTGTTATACACACAGTATTTAGGGGGAAATGGAATTCGGCCTTTGTGTTCTACCATAGAGGGCAATTACAAAGACATGCAGCCCAGTGAAGCACATGTTCTGAAGATCTAGTATTTTATTCCTTTGCAGTGGCTACCTCAGATAATAGAATATTCTCCTGTGTTGTCACTGGGGCATTTTCATTTCTCACTGGCCATTTCTGCCATCCTGAGCTTTAGCTGAAAACCAATACCAGAATGTCAGACTAGGAATGTCTTCCTATCACTGAACATAACTACTTGAGATTTGTTTGGGCTTAGGACAGAACAGGCAGTGGGGAGGCATTTTGGTTCAGGGAGAAAAACCACACATTTCTTAACTGTAATGATAGATTAGATCTTTGTTCATGGTTTCTTCCTGGGAGAGAAATACCAAGTAGTCGCCATAACTCATTAAACATAAAGCTGATGGGCTGCTCCCCCCCCACTAAATCTAATGGTAATTCCAGTTAACTGTAAACATGCTTTTAAAGATCCAATTTCTCTGTTTAAAAGACTTGCAAGGGTTGAGTACCAAAAAATTTTGATATGTAAGTACCAAATATATAGTTGCAATAAAATTCTTGCACTAGGTTAACTGCACAATGTGCTAATTACAATGGCTGACACAATCCATGAAAATCACTGGCAGGCTGCATGTTGGCATGTGTGTAAAGGTTTTATCAAATGCATGATGCTAATGAAATGTGCTTTGCTTACTCATGACCAGGCGGCCATGTCATGTGTATGTGTGTGTGTGTGTGTGTGTATATATATATATATATATATATATATGTCATATGTACATATATATGTGTGTCATGTGTGTGTATATATATGTTATGTATATATATATGTCATGTGTCATATATATATATATATATGTATGTCATGTGTCATATATATATATATGTATGTCATGTATATGTCATATATGAGTGTACTTCAAAAAGTTCATGGAAAGATTTGTATTAACTTTCAATTCTATTTTTCCATGAATTTTTTGATGTACCCTCATGTATTTATGTCATATGTACATATATATAAGTATATAAATATCTCCCCTCAATTTCCTGCAATCTTTCTAATAACTGTCTTACAGATCATGAAAACACTCATACTCCTTTTTTTTAAAGCTAGACTCTGTTGGAGTTTCTCTATGTGTCAAATGAAAACAACATCAAAACTTGACTCATTTTGTTCTGTTAAAAATATATATTCGGAGAACTTGTCAGCTTCTCGAAATGCCTCTTTATTCTCACACCACAGATAGGTTGGGGTCACCACCTGGCCACCAGATCAGGAACTACAGTGATGCATGCAGGGGCAGTGGCTTCAGGGGCAGTAGAGCAAACACACCTTGAAGTTTCCTGAGTGGTTGTCTTTCCGAGATGGAGCCATGGAGGATGGCCGGCGCATTTCTGAGGATGCACAGGAGTATGTAAGATTATACACTGCTGGACAAAATTCTTTTTCTATTTATTTTGATCTCATCCTTTAAAAATATGTATATTTAGGTATATTTTAAAATACACACATATATCATTTGCAGGTAAACATGTCGTCAGTAATATTTTACAAACTTCTACTGATGGGGGCACAATAAGAAGAGTTTAGATAATATTGACTATAAGTTTTAAAATGTTTTATTTTCCTATCTCAGTTCATATTTATGGACTGTTTATTGATATCAGGAAATTGTATTTCTTAATTTGTAACTGAATATTTTCAAATGAAAATTTCTTCTCCCTGTGTCAAGCCAGAAGCCTCATATGGTGGTGCCCTAGAGGAAGTATTGTTCGTACCTACTCTGTGGCCAGGACCCATTTCATCAGGCGAGAGAGCTGATGTCCCACAGCACAGCAGAGAGCAGTATCATTGTATCCACCAGGCATGCCAACTGTCTGCTTTAGGGAGAACAAGCAACAGCCAACATATGAATGTCCAAGGAAATGAATGGAGCTTGTCATCTTCCAGAGTCTGGATGCAGAGCTCCTAAAGGTCTGGACACAAGCGAAGGACCTGCAGATCCATCCATGCAGCAGGACTTCTCTGAAGGTCAGAACAGAAGGCCAATGAGGATGCAGAATACTGACTCAGGGGCTCTCATCAAAACTGGAAACCCAGATAGAAGTGGGGCCAAATGTTACTGTTCTTACCTTCAGCCTTCATTCATGCATGTTGAAGTATGTGGAGAGCTTCCCTCATCCAGCCACCATGCTAGGCGTGGTTATAGTGGGGAACAAAAGTAAGCACGATCCCTCCTATCTGGGAATTTACCTCTTAGAGGGAAGTCAGGAATTAATAAAGTGGTTATGCTAATAAACTGAGAAAAAAGTGACCTAATTCTGTAAGGATATGTAATAAAAAAGAAAAGGTCCATAACTTTGTGTTTGGGAAGTGGTGCTGAGGTTCCACCCAACAGTATCATTTTAATATCATGGAATTTGCAATATACCACAGCTGTACAAAGTTGTGACCCTAAGTCTTAGCTCCATGTATTTCATGATTGCATAATAATCATTTTGTGTGTGTGTGTGTGTGTGAAAGAGAAAATTTGGAAATATAAACAAGAAAGGTTACAAGAACCATTTAAGGAACTAACTCAGTATTGATGATTTAACATATAATATATTTCAGCATTGAATAAAAAAGATACACTTCATTTTCTCAGAAAGCTTACCTTGTAGAGAGATAGACAAGAAGCAAATAAACAGTATGATTCTAAATTTTGTGAAGAGCCCTAAAGAACGAAAAACAGTGATGCTGGGGAGCAGACTTGGAGAGCCGGGGGGGCCACTTGCCTTGGGTAATCAGGGAAGGATTTTCTACAGAAGTTACATTTAACTTGAGATCTAGAGATAAGAAGGACCGAGGCAACAAATAGGGGAAGGATGTTCCAAAAAGGTCAAAAGGTCAGGGGGCACTGAGATGAACGCTGATATGACATCAGCCACCAGCCTGGGACCTCATAAACTCCCAATAATCAGGACAAAACCTGATTGGGTGGGGACAAAACCGAACCTGTAAGTGAGAGATTAACTGGCTTCCCTATTGGAGAGAAAAAACACCAAGCAAAACATCCCAAACTGAAGATTGTTCTAACCAGGTGGGAGAGCCATCACTGAAGGAGATTTCTGTCTCCTGGACATCGTCATGTCTAGTATGAATGGGTGGAGGTCGCAGCAACACAAGTGTCCCTTCCCACAGAGAACGATCTGGTTAGAGCAGACTGTCCCTTCCCACAGAGAACAACCCAGTTAGAGCGGACTGTCAGCTTACAGAAAGCGTAGCTGAGTGGCTGCAGCAGAATGTGCTGCTGAAGATACTCTGATAAATAAGGGGGAGGAGTTGGGCAAATTCCATATTAGCAGCTTTCGAACCACGTAAAATCAGGCTTTCGATTTTTAAAAGCCACTTATTTGTCCCAGCATTTGCTACCTCTACATGAGTAATTCCAAAGGATACTGCATTCGTCACTACAAGAAATACTGGGTTTTGATAACTGAAGAAGGATTGCTGATTTCTTCAAAGCGCAAAGCTGTGAAACCCCAAGGGTTGTATTTATCCCTTTCATATCTCGGCTGACAAGCAACATGGGGCATGTAGAAATAGTTTAAAATGTTCACGTTGAGAAAACATCCTCCCTGAGTGATGCACTTTACATACACAATTCAATGGAATGTTGTTTTCTCCCAGTTGCTTTTCTTCCGCCTAACCTCTTACTAATTTGCCGTTAATATCTGACCTTTTCCCTTTTTCTTTTCCCATTTCTTTTGTTCCTCCCCCGCTCCACGAATTTGTCCAGAGGATAACATCTTTAAGTACTAAATGGCCATATTCTTGTTCCATGCATGAACACATGTGTGATGCACACACACACACAGATGGACTTTGGGGTGAGATAGGTTTAAGTCCAGACTTGGCCATATAATAAACATTAGAATTGGGGTTACCCCTGAACTTTTTTGATTTTCAGTTTCCTCTCAAATAAGTAGTAAAAAATTATACTATTTGCAGAGCTTTTCAGGGGGCAGAGAAATTATATATATAATGGGACTAACATGGACCAACACTCAACAGGGCAATATATTCTATAGATTTGGCTGTATTTTTAATTTGACAGTTAAAGGAGATGTCTAATCTACTACTTCCCATAAACTTGGAGTTTTACCCTCTCTTATTTTTTCATTTTCACAGGGTATAACATCTATATTGGTGTTGAGATATTGTAGCCTCACAGTGCCAGGAAGCTTGGAAGTTGTTCTCTCTAGGTATGTGTTCCTAGAGCTTTGGATTTTGTAGACAAATAAGGTTCCCTAGAGTAAAATGAAATCTGTGATTCTGGGAATATACAAAGATAGGACATTCTATTACTCTGAGTCATTCAAAAACTTTTGCTTCTTAATTGTGCAGTTTTCACACCCCATCATAACTGCTATAAATAGGAAGATGCAATTATGTCAGAGATGGACCCCAGATGGAAATTTGCTGACCCACAAGGGCCCAAGAGAAAAAATTCTTTTCTAAGGAGGGCAGAGATTAGCATTCATATTCAGGAAAGAAACCTGTGCCAAGTGTTCAAAACTTATCCTTAGAACCTCTTCGACCCAGAATAGGAAGACTGAGATGCAGGGTCTCAGATGGGGATTCAGAAGGGGATTTTACAGATAAAGGGGCATCTCTTACTTTAAACCAGTCATTTCTTTTCTTGTCCACCCCAACTTCCTGTTACAATCCATGCAAGTTGAATGGCTCTCTGTATATCTGTATTACTATTTATTTCTGTACATCTATTCTCAAATTCCTTTCCCTTCAATATTGCATCTGCCACAGGCAAAACTATATAAATCCAGACCAGTTTGGGATGGGGAGCATGGCACTAGTGAGAAAGATGAATAGGTTCCAATTTAATTTGCTTACATTAAATGAGTATACTTAGCCCCATGGTAAATACTAAGGCAGGTAAAATATGAAAGATAAGGCATAGACCCCAATTTTGGAGGCATTGTGCATTGAAAAGAATAGGATATTGGAGTTCTTAGTCCTGCATTTGGATCCTTGATGGGCTGCTCTGCCATTTGACAGCTTGCTAAATTACATCAACACTCAATGCCTCAGTTTTCTTATTTTCAAAGTGAAAGGATGTTAACACCAACACTATTGAAGAGCAGCTCATTAAAGATGGCCGTAGGTCCCTATCACCTGCAGGGACTGAAGTGACTCCAAAAAAAATACTCCTATGGAAACTGCCAGAAATCTTAGGACATACAGCCGGCAGTCCATGAGAGATTACCAGGGCGAGCTGCAGCTGAGTGAAGTGTTCACAAGCTGGAGGCATAACTCAAAAGTGCTGTTAAGGGTGGCATCAAAGATGGCATCTAAAGGGAGCCCTCCCTTGGCCATGTCTAGGCTGTACCTTTGCTCCTTTTGAGCTCAAGTCTGCCAGG